CACACACACACCGCCCGCCCCGGCCCCGCTCCGCTCCCCGCCGAACCCCCGCAGCACCCACCGGGAGGCGACTGTCCGTTCACGGCCGGCGCGTTCTTCGTCCAGGGGTTCACCTTGGGCGGCGGGGCCTCGATGAACTCCCGGCGCCCCGCACCGCCCGCCTCGCCGCCATCCTCCGCCTCGCCGCCGGCCCTCAGCAGGCTCTCCTTCTCCTGGTTGTTGCTCTCCTCCTTCTGCTGCTTGGCGCTGGGCGGCCGCGGCGCCGCCGGCCCGCCGTCGGGGCCCATGGGCGGCTCGCCCTTCTCCCGGCCGCCGCCGTCCTGCGGCGGCTTCAGCACCAGGGCGCGCTCCTCGGCGGGCAGCAGCGGGGCCGTGCCGGGCAGCAGCGCCTCCACCTGCGTCGCCATCTGCGCGCCCCCGAGCCCCGCCGGGAAACCCCCCACCCCCCCTTCCTCCTCCTCCTCCTTCCCCCGAGCCCCGGTGCCGCCGCAATATGGAGCCGCGCGGGGACCACGCGACTGCCGCGGGGGCGCGCACCGCCCGCCCGCCCGTGCGCGCCGCCGGCGAGGGGAGGGGCGGCGCGGGGCGCGCCCCCGCGGGCCTGATGCAACGCCCCGGCTGAGCTGCGGGAGAAGGGGTGGGAGGGGGAAGCGGGCACGGGGGAGTGTTTAAAGGGCGCTGGACCCTTCCCTGATATCCCGGCCCCGCCGCACGGCTGGGAGAGGAGGCGCCGCTCGGGCCGGGGGGGGCAGCTGCCGGCTCGGGGACTCCGGGGCTCCCCCGGTGCGAACGCACCGGGGGAGCCCCGGAGTCGCCGAGCCGGCTTCGACAGCGTCCCCCGCGTGGCGCCGAGGGATGGGGTTGCTCTCGGGATAATGTGGTTTCATCAACGGTCAAGCTGGAAAGGGACCACAGTGGGTCATGTGGTCCCGCGTCCCTGCTTAAGCGTGGTTGTCCTGGAGCACATGGCACAGGGTTGTGTGCAGACGGGACTGGAATATCTCCAGCGAGGGACACAGCACAGCCTCTCTAGGCGACCCGTTCCAGTGCCCGGTCACTGCACGGTAAAGAAGTTCTTCCTCGTGTTCAGGTGGAACTTGCTGTGCATTGCTTGCCTCATGGCACCACCTGGAAGAGCCTGGCTCCGTCTTCTTGGCACCCCCCCCATATGGGTATTTGTACACACTGATGAGATAGAAACCGCCTCCCTTGTCCTGATCCCGGCAAAACCTTCCTTTGAGGAAGTTAAAATATTTGCTTGATCTCTAGCTGGTGGGAAATCATTTGCTCATCATCATCACTTATGTCTCTGGTGTTTGTCCCCCAATTCTTGCAGCTGGCAAGACGGTGAGTGCGGACCCTGTGTGCAAGTGCCCACAAATTATACACATTGAAAAGACAGCTTGGACTGCTGATACCATTTAGCACAACCTGTCTAATACACAGTGGCCCTTACTCAGTGCCTTTTTTATTCAATACAAGTCTCTCCTGGCCTCCTCCCTGTCACAGCGACCACGCCACTCCACTTATGCCCAGAAAGGTTTATCTGGAAGTCTTGGCAAGTGTCTTGGCATGTCGTGTAGCCCCGAGGACACATCTGTGCAATCCCTGCAGGAGGCCCATCAGCATGACAAGGCACTGAAGATGTAGCTGGGGATTAAAAGCTGATTGTCCATCAGCATGACAAGGCACTGAAGATGTAGCTGGGGATTAAAAACTGATTTCACTGTTGGAAGGAAAGAAGAAAGTGAGAAACAAACATGAACTCAATACATCGTTTGGAAGGGCAACACCGTCAGGGGTCTGGCAGATCCATAGAGGTGGTCCCAGGCTGTTGGGGATGCTCCACTGGGACATCTTGGATCTCTGCATCCCTCAGTACCCAACTCCTTGGCTCAGAGAACACCTTCATATGCTGCAGCCTCAGGGATTGCCAGTGTGTGTCGCATCCCAAATACATTCAAGAATTTGGCCAGTAAAATTCCAAAAGGAAATTTAAATATAATTCCAGTAGAGCCAGACACTGGCCTGTCTGCCTGGCTGGATACCCAGTGGGGATGCTCCAGTACCTGAGTTGCAATAACAGAAGCCACGTCCTGTGCTCCATATAGCCCAGTTCCTGATGTGCCGACGGTCCCTGTTCTCCTCACAAGCAAGACTTGGGAGCTGCACAACTTCCAGCCAGGCTCCCACCTTCACCCTCTCTAGGAGTGGGTCCTTGTGGTTGCAGCCAGGGGACCTTCAGCCCAGTAGTGTTCCTGTCCTGTCCCCCATCCAGGGCACAGCATTCCTGACACTTGGTCCTTTTGGGACACTGCTCTGCCTGCCACGTGAGCGGGAAGGAGCTCGCAGTGGCTTAAAGCCAAGCTGGCTCCAGAGCTGCCAGGCAGGAGGGAGCTCTGCCTGGGAGCTCTCAGGGTGAGTCTCACTCTTAGTGTCCACACAGTGCTTAGCCAGGCCAAACCCCATCAGGGTTTTCCATGTCAGAAAATAAATACGGAGGTGAGGGGGCAGAGAGGGAAGTGTCCGTGCGACCTTCCTGCACCAGCCATAGGTAACATCACACTGGCAGGTCAGCTCTCAGACACCCATCCTTCACGTGAAGGGAAGCTGAGTGTGCACCACCTCCAGCTGGGTGGTGTAAACACACTGGCCATATCTAGAAAGCTCTGTGTGCCCCACTCCTCCCTCAGTGCCCTCACCTGTGCTGGACCCATCTCCCCCTGCTCTACCCAGTGTCCATGGCAGACACTGTCCATTTTCTACTCCTTGGCTCCAGGGACTTGCTGAGAAGCAGCCAAGGAGTCTCTGCACTTCTGCAGCACAATTCACTGGGAAGTAATCCCTCTCTGCTTTTCCAAAATTTAAGGAAAACACCTGACTTCCATCCCCAAGCCTGCTTCTCTGCCTCATCCTCCACCCCAGATGTGTCCCTCTGCCTGCCCAGACCACATCAAGCAGCTCTGAGTGCCTCTTCCCAGCCCTGTGCTGGCCCTGCGCAGGCTCCAAGGAAGCAGTCTCCAGGGAAACTCCTCTGCTGAGTAGTGATTTGGGCAGGAGCTCCCCACCTCCCTTGCTCTGTGTACAGCAGCTTATTTATTTCGCCTCGACTGAAGCGTGGCTTGCATATTTAACACAGATGCCTGGCTGCTTTGGTGCTGGCCTGGAGGTTTAAAGATGCTTTGATGGTGGCCATGAATGTCTTTAAGCATCTCTGGGTCTTGCTTGGCTGGAATATCCCCAGTTTAATTTCTACTGGCCTGGCTACCTCAGGTCCTGACCTTCCCTTTGGCAACAGCTTTAGTTCAGCCTGGAGTGAGGGTGTGTGTGTTGGGGAGCACAAAGCAGCTGATGTGACTGATACACCCCTTAGCTTCCCCATCCTGTTTGGGTGGTAACTCAGCCCCTTCCTCAGGGTCCACTTGCCTAATTTTGTCTGGTGCTGGGGACAGGAGGTCACCATTGTACATGTTTCCTACAGTTTTACTTTTCTCTAGTCTGGTCCCCAGTGAAAATCAGCAGCTGCAGCTGCAGCACACTCTTGATCACATCTCTTCTCCCTGCGTCCAGGGGCCATACTGACCTCACAGTCAGCTCTGAGTAGAAATGTGCTTCCCAAGGGAATCTTCTCTCTCCAGCACCTCCACATCAGCTTGTTTGCTGCCAGCCAGTGCCGGTCACGCTGTTCCCTGGTGAGATGCCCAAGCTTTACACATGGATGGCAGAACATTAAGGCTCAGGCACCTTGAACACTTTGCAAAAGAGAAAGAGGATTTTGCCAGGGAAAGTCCAAGCTTCCTATCCTGGGTCATATGCTCTGACTTATTCCTGCAGTTGTTACTGCTCCGTGAACCCTGCCAGGCAGAAACATTGTCAGGGACGGGGATGCATGCAAGGTTGGGCTGATTTTCCTGCAGTGCCACCTTCCAGCAAACCCGGCTGCCCTTGGGGGATGTCATAGTCCTGCTCCCAAAGCAGTTGCAGACGTGGCGTGACCATCAAACTGTAGGAAAATGCTTCCAACTGCATTAAACTACCTCTGGCACCCACAGGGAAAAAGCTTCTCAAAGGACATCCAGAGCTCATTTCTAGAAGAGAAACATCTTCTCTTTGAGAAGAGAGTGGCATGCAGGTGCAGAACCATTCCCAGGACTTTGGGCCACTAGTTACAGCCCTAAGATTGAAATGGGAATTTTCAATTTCAGAAAACCTGACAGTTTCCCATTGAAAAATACTCAGCTTGCCCTAAAGTTCCTCATCAGGAAAACCTGACTCAACATTTTCAGTTTGGATCAGATTCTCTCCAACGAAGCAGTGGAAGCCCAAATAACAGTCCCAGTTTGCAGCCCCAGCGGTGAGCAGGGCCAAGGGCAGGCTGTCAGGAAGTCCCTGTCACCCTGCCATGGCAGGTGCCTCCCAGCCCCAGCAGACACCTATTAGTGGCACATTGTAGCCATCACAAAAGACTCGAATATTTTTAAAATAAAACACCAAAACCTTTTATTCCACTACCCCAAATACTGTCATTTCATCCTGCTTTAGCTCAGAACCAGAAGAAAGTGCCCATTCCTGCAGGTTTCTGCCAGAGAGACCTCTAACAACTCTTTCTTTAACCCAGATTTTAACCTTTCCTTGCTCTGTGTTTTCAATCCCAGAGCTCCCACCCCTGCTCTGGACAGAGGGGCCATCCACTAAAGCACAACAGGCAGCCAGAGCAGCAAACTCTCTGCTTCTGCAAGGGATGGCCAAAGGGATGAGAACACACCGAGTGCTCACGGACAGTTCTGTAGGCTTTTCCTATCTGCAGCCCTGTGATCCAGAGAGATGGAAGATATTCCCTGGTCCTGAGATAAATTCTCTCGGACCCTCCTAGCACTGTGTATGAACGATCAGCACTGTGTATGAACGCATTCACACACATAAGTAATTTTCAACCTGTGCAATAAACCAGCAGACACTAACGAGTTCCATCACATGCCCATTAAAAAGTGCTTTCCCTTAGCAGGACACCACGGCCCAGGGGGCTCAGGCTCAGTGGTTTCATGCTGCAGCCCAGCCAAAGGCACTGTGCTGCTCATGGCTCTCGTAGGTTGGCAATCAGCTCCTCTGCAGAGCCACTGGCCCCTGGCTGCTTCCACCCATCCTCTGCCCACTGGGAAGCAGTGCTGCAGATGTGTTTGTGTCGAGAGTGCACTGCGTGGATTTTCCTGGTGTTAAGAAGTTAGATTTAAATGAGAGCAAATATCCCGTAATTAAAGGTCCAAAGTCTGCAATGCAGTTTTTGCAGGTTTTTAATAAGTGGTTTGGAAGAGGGGTTATCTAATGATAGATGACTGCTTTTATCACTGCAACTTTTCCCTCCAAAAGCCACAGTTCTTATAGGACTCCCCCAAAGCCAATAAATAATCTTGAC